GGACTAGCGGAAACGTACATTCATCCATCACATTCATGCTATGGAAAGCGAGTAGACATGCTAAACACTTATAAACACATAGCACATAACATTTAGCATGCTCGACTAGATGCAAGGCCCTAATAAAGCAAATTAACACATAGCAATTAAACATGCAAGACACATAAGACAATCAAAGCCCTAACTATTACATTTGCTGGCTAGGCACACGTCTTCGATGGGTCTTCATTGAATGCTCCTCCAAGCCCTATCTATTATATTAAGGAGATCCTACTACGATCTAAAAGGGGGAAAGAGAATAAAATAGTTGAATCCCTAACTATTACAAGCCAAGAGGTGTACACATACCCCATAAAGAATAACTTAAATAAAGAGCAAAAATAAATGACATAAATAAAAGGAATTAAAGAAAAGCTAGGAAAGCAAAGTAGACATGCAATTCACTTAGCACATTGGATCACATAGGAGAGATAAACAAAGATAAAAGAAATTATACCTTCCCCTAATGGTAAGCAAATGAAGGAAAATGGCTTCAAAACAATAAAGGGGTCAAGGCATCAATTTAAAAGTAAAGTATAAGCAAAAACATCAAAACCCACCTAATTGCAACTTGAATGAGCACAAAAAAAATGCTTAAAGACCAAGAAAACGGAATAACCCGTTCAATTTCCAAATATAGCATCTACTAAAGACCCAAAACAAGCATTACTCAAACATTCAAGTCCAAATAAATCGTTTAAACACTTCAAAGATCTCAAAAAATAAAGGAAAAGCCAAACAATGATTGAAGTTGCAATGATCTTAGGACTTAATTACAAGATACTAGAACATGCTTGGGCTCTTGTGGAACAAAAAGAAACTTAGAGGGATCAAATTGATTGAATGTTCCAATTACTTGGGCCTTAGTAGAACAAAGGGGAATTTGAGGGGTTGAAATGCAATTTTCGAAAATATTTTGCATGCAAACTTACGTAAAAGAACAAATTCTGCAACTAAAGCTTCTATACTGAAATGAATGTCTGCTGCATTTTCGTTTTCAACCATAGATCCCACAAACTAAAACAAGTTTTGATCAAACTCCCTCAAACCAAAGTCTTAACTCGGGATTAAGCAACTCCACACACAACTTTGATATTCAAACCAGCAAAAACATATGAAGAAATCAGCAAACATTGAAGAGCGAAGTCTGCTGCATTTTATTTCCAAGCTTGCAACAATTTTCAGCAAAGTGTTCAACCATAGCTCAAAGATTTCAGCCTTTAAACATACAAACTCAACACCAAAAATCCCATTTCTTCACCCTTGACATCAGATTGAACTAGCAAAGGGTGACCAAACCCAGTTTTAGTAGGCTGCTAACAAGATAAAAACATGAAATGCAGCTTTTCTTTTTTTGATTTTTACCCCAACTTAGACAGGTTTACATGCCAATATGTGAGAAGCTCTAACTAACATTCAAACTAGAAATGCCGAGCTTCAAACTCATTGTCATTATCATCTAATTCTCATAAAACCTGATCGAAACAGCCATCTATAAAATGCATCAAAAGAAAAGGTGAAACCTGCGGTAATCTAAGGAAAAGGAAAAGGGCTGCATGCGCTGCTATGAAATTTCCCGAAACACATTTCTAACTTCAGATGTTATTCATGGTATATCATTCAAATATAGATAACCAAGACAAACAAAGTTAATTGAGTCACAGCTTCAACAAAAACAAAGAAAAAGGGCCGACATGTCCGAATTGCTGCAATCAAGTCAAAAAGATTCAAACTTGTTGCAGTAAGTTCTTAACCTAAGGACCCAAAAACAAGAACCAAATTCACATAAGGAATTTCGACACCAGTCATCAAAGCGTTGAACAACATCCAGACTTTTCATAGTCCCATCATCTTAAACAGATTCACAATGAACGCATACAAGAGTAACTTCAGCATTTCATGAATCCAACGACTAAAAGCAGGTAAAAGCTATTACCTTTACACTTTTAGGATCCAAACGGGAACTGAGATGATCGATAGTAAGGGTCCTCGTTGAACTGAAAACCTTCTTCTTCTGATGCTGCTGCTCCTTCGTCTTTTCCTTGCTATTTCTCCGTCGATGCTTCACCAGCCACCAACTAGGCTCTCGGTTGTTGTTTCACTCCCCTTACCCTCGAAGTTCCGACTCTCTCCCACTCTCCAAGCCTAAACACTCCCTCCTTCTGTTTCTCTTTTAGTTCCCCTTTCCTGCTTACGGCTCAATTCTCCCAAAAACAGTTTTCCTCCACCTTCAGTCTTTTTTCCTGATTTTTCTCCCTTGCTTAGTTTTTCTTTCCGCTGTTCCTTTCATTCTCTCCAGATTTCCTTTTTTTGTGTTTTTCTGTCTTCCGGATCCTCTCTATCCTCTTTTGAAAACTCTCCCCCTGCGGCTGTCCATCCCTTTTCTATTTATATGGGAGCTCTGCCCTAAAATCTCAGCAATCTCTGCTATATTTGCAGTCAAGGGCTGCCCGAAGCCCTTCCTTGCAAGCTGCAAAAAAACGCAGCTTGCTATCGCGTATTGCCTTTTTTTTTTGTTTTTTTAAATAATGTAACAAAATGATAATAAAAGCTAAGTACTAAAATATAACAATTTTACATCAAAATAAACAAACTAAAACAACAAAATTGCCATTTTCAATCTTTTCTTTCATTTTTCATTTTTCTTTTTTTTTTAGTTTCAAGAAAACATTGAATTTAAAAGACTAAATCATATTTTTTTGAATGCTTTTCTTTTTCTTTTTTTCCTTTTTCAAGAAATTCCATGATAAAACTTAAAAATAAAAATAAAACTAGAAACTAAAAACTAAAAAAGCGAATAAAACTAACACTATACAAATAAAAAACTAAAAATAAAAAAAAAAGACATGAAATTACACCAAAAATTTGGTGTCTACAGTTTGCCCCTCTTTGTCTGAGTTTTGAAAAACTTGAGACAAAGAAGTAGACACCAAATACTTACCTGTCTCTTCTATCTACTTCTGAAAATAAAACAAACAAGTCAACACTCGGCTGAAATTATTGTACAAAATGATGTAATAACATTGCAGAAAATATGACCGAACTCATGTAGAGTTGCCTACGTATCCCATAACGGGAATCAGGTCAAACGTAGTTCGGATGCAAGTGCATTGACTATATTTGATCTTTGCAAAGTAGAAGAAGTCAAACTCTCAGAACTTCTAAACATGAAATACAAAATGACTGACAGACTAACTATCAATCCAATGATCAAGCAGATGGTCAAAAAAAAAAAAAAAGCGGTCAGTGGGATAAAACCCGAGCCTGCCGAGGTCGGAGGGATAAAACCCATGCCCAACGAAAAAAATAAAAGCGGTCAGTGGGATAAAACCCAAGCCTGCCGAGGTCGGAGGGATAAAACCCATGCCCAACGAAACATAAAAGCGGTCAGTGGGATAAAACCCAAGCCTGCCGAGGTCGGAGGGACAAAACCCATGCCCAACGAAACATAAAAGCGGTCAGTGGGATAAAACCCAAGCCTGCCGAGGTCGGAGGGATAAAACCCATGCCCAACGAAACATAAAAGCGGTCAGTGGGATAAAACCCAAGCCTGCCGAGGTCGGAGGGATAAAACCCATGCCCAACGAAACATAAAAGCGGTCAGTTGATCTATTCATATAAACTTTCGTAGGCTTTTGAGAAAACAAATGGTAAACAACTTCCTCTAAAATTGCCCCAGTGTGATGCTTATCGGATTGTCCGACCTGCAAGAAAAGAAATAATGATAGATAATACCGCCATCGTTCGATCAACCTCTTCTTCAAGAAAAGTGTAAACATGAGCATTTGGGCTTCTCGTTCGACGAAGTGAGCACTTCAACCCGGCCCTGCAAACCATGTCAAATTCTCATAATATGCAGACCTACGTATCATCTAGTATCTATTCTCTTCGATAAATCATAGGGATTGCCATTTGATAGAACAAAAGAGACAAATGCGACCATGCAACACATGAAAAACATTCTAGTTGCACATAATGATGAAAGATCTTAACAATATAAACACAATCCTCTACTTTTATTGCACAAAAAATCATTTCAAATAAGTAAGCCTGTATACTCAAATTTCGTGTCTGATAAGTCAAAAACTTTGGCTTTCGAACAAAGTGCTACATTTGACCCTTTGGACATCATCTCTTCGGAGTTCCAATACTTGACAACAGAACCACAATGTGAGGAGAAATTCCAATGAACTAAGTCACCAGCTCTTCAAATCCAAACTTACTTTTCCTTATGAAACCCTACCTCAGCGCCCTTTCGGGTTTTCACTAAGGTTGCCCCCGCCCATTATTTTCTTTTCCTGTGTTTCTTTTTCCTTTTCTTTTTCCTTCTTTTTTTTTTTAGGTGCCCTTGCGGGTTTTCACCTAGCAAACCAATCTTGTCTATCGCCCATATCAATCTGGAGATGTGTTTTAAGAAATAATGGCATCAGTATAACAATTCTTCCCTTGCAAAATAGGCGAAGATGTTTTTGACATCATGTGCCACCTGATTAGAAATTGTCCTAAAAAGGCAGTATAAAGAACAGAAGTCAGGACTTTTAGGTTTTTGTAATGGGGTCTGGTGGGGTGCTTAGAAAAAATTAAGGCTTGAAAGCGGATTTCAAGTGTGGTTTAAATGATCTGAGATCGCATTTTTCAAATTAACCTTACTAATAATTGCCCCAGTTTATTCTCAATCGAGATCTTCCTCTTTTCATTTTTCTTTTCATTTTCCTTTATAGCTTTTCCTTTTGAATCCTCTCTTTTCTTTTCTCTTCTTTTCCTTTCTTTCTCATTCTTAGCTTTTTCGACTCAAAACTTGCCCCAGTATGGGGTTTGCGATTCTCAGGGGATGCCAAACGAAATAATTTGCTCTGAAGGCTCAAAAGGGACAACTAGGGATAGAATGTTTGATTGGGAAAGAAGAAGGCCTGACTTTTAATCTGTTCCTCACATTAACCCTAAAAGGAAGATTTCATTTATCATATAAAGAATTTCTTACACATATCTGAATTGATTGGTTGAGGGAACACTTGCCCATCCATTTCTGCAAGAATGAGCGCTCCTCCGGGCAAAACTTTCTGGACAATAAAAGGGCCTTGCCAATTTGGTGCAAATTTCCCCTTAGCTTCCTCTTGTGCTGGCAAAACGTGTTTCAACACTTTATCTCCTTCTGTGAACACCCGTGGTCTGACCCTCTTATTGTAAGCACGGGCTACCCTTTTTTGATAGCATTGACCATGACAAATGGCATTTAACCTTTTCTCATCGATTAAAGACAACTGCTCATGACGTTGTTGAATCCATTCAGCCTCCTCCAGTTTGGCCTCCATTAAAATACGCAAAGAAGGGATTTCGACTTCGGCTGGTAAAACTGCTTCCATTCCATACATGAGATTGTAGGGAGTCGTCCCAGTAGAAGTCCGAATAACAGTTCTATATGCCATTAACGCATAAGGGAGCTTTTCATGCCAATCACGGTGTCTCTCAATCATCTTACGGATTATTTTCTTCAAGTTCTTATTCGCAGCCTCTACTGCTCCATTCATTTGTGGCCTATAAATAGAGGAGTTTCTATGCTTGATTTTGAACTGTGCGCACAAACCATCCACCATGTCATTGTTGAGATTTTTGGCATTATCAGTGATTAATGTCTCCGGCACTCCGAAACGACAAATGATATTCTTTCTTAGAAAGACTGTTACCACCTTCTTAGTCACATGTTTATAAGACTCAGCTTCGACCCACTTAGTAAAGTATTCAATTGCCACCAGAATAAACCGATGCCCATTTGAAGCGGGAGGGTCAATGGCTCCAATCACATCCATACCCCACATCGAACATGGCCAAGGAGCAGTCATACTGTGTAATTCTGTAGGGGGAGTGTGCATAACATCTCCATGCAATTGACACTTGATGCATTTCCTAACAAAAACTATACAATCATGCTCCATAGTAAGCCAAAAATATCCAGTCCTCATGATCTTCTTTGCTAATAAATGGCCATTCATATGTGATCCACACACTCCACTATGTACTTCCTTCATCAGGTATTCCGCCTCATCTTCGTCAACACACCTCAGAAGGCCCAAATCCGACGTTCTTCTGTATACTACTTCTCCATTCAAGAAGAATTTAGATGATAATCTACGCAAGAAACTTTTGGCAGTCATATCAGCCCCAGATGGGTAGGATCCTGTTTTGAGAAATTCCTTGATATCATTGTACCAGGGACGGCCATCGGAAGACTTTTCCACAACTAGGTAGTGAGCAGGTTTCCCTTGTAGATGAATCTGGATGGGTTCAATTATTAACTCATCCGGATGTTGGATCATTGAAGATAAAGTGGCCAATGCATCGGCGAAGACATTTCTGACACGGGGAATATGCCGAAACTCCAAACTCCTAAATTTATTGGCTAACTCCAGTAAGTTGCAATGATAGGGCAAGATCTTTGAATCCCGAGTAATCCACTCCTTAAGAGTCTGATGTACAAGCAAATCTGAATCACTGAATACTAGTAAATCCTTAATCTCCATTTCTAATGCCATTTTTAACCCAAAAATGCAAGTTTCATATTCAGCCATGTTGTTAGTACAGGAAAATCGGAGTTTGGCCGAACCAGGGTAATGTTTTCCTTCAGGCGATACTAGAACAGCTCCAATACCGGCCCCGAAGGAATTTGATGCACCGTCAAAGAACAACCTCCACTCCGGGCATTGATCATTCATATCTTCTGCTATACCCACGAACAAGGCCTCCTCATCCGGAAAATAAGTGTGAAGTGGTTGATAGTCATCTTTCAGCGGATTTTCAGCTAAATGGTCGGCCACAGCCTGGCCTTTGATGGCCTTTTGAGTAGTGAAAATAATGTCAAATTTCGAAAGAATCATCTGCCATTTCGCCATACGTCCCGTCGGCATAGGCTTTCCCAACAAATATTTCAAAGGGTCGGAGCGGGAAATAAGGTAAGTAGTATGACTGAGCAAGTAATGTCTCAACTTTTGGACGGCCCAAGCTAGAGCACAGCAACTCCTCTCAAGAAAAGAATAGTTGGCCTCATACGCAGTGAACTTCTTACTAAGGTAATAGATAGCTTGCTCCCTCTTCCCCGATTCGTCATGTTGTCCCAATACACACCCCATAGCTTCGTCCAACACCGATAGATACATGATCAAAGGTCGCCCGGGTTTGGGTGGCACTAAAACCGGGGGGTGCAACAGGTAATCTTTAATTTTATCAAACGCTTGCTGGCATTCCTCATTCCATTGCAAGGACACATTTTTCTTTAATAATTTGAACAAAGGCTCACACGTATGGGTCAATTGGGCAATGAATCTCCCAATAAAATTAATCTTTCCTAAAAAACTCTTCACGTCTTTTTGCGTTCTTGGCACTGGCATCTCACGAATGGCCTTAATCTTTGCCGGATCTATCTCAATACCCTTCTTACTGACAATGAATCCCAATAACTTTCCGGCAGGGGCCCCAAATGCACACTTTGCAGGGTTTAGTTTTAAATCACATTTCCTCAATCTTTCAAATAACCTCCCCAAGTCAATCAAATGATCCTCCGTTCTCTCGGATTTGATAATGATATCGTCCACATAAACTTCCATCTCCTTATGAATCATATCATGAAAAAGGGTGGTCATAGTCCTTTGATAAGTAGCGCCTGCATTTTTTAGTCCAAACGGCATTACTCGGTATCAAAATGTCCCCCATGGCGTGATAAAAGCAGTTTTCTCCCTATCCTCCTCAGCCATTAAGATCTGGTGATATCCAGCAAAACAATCAGCAAATGATTCAATCTCATGCCCTGCGGTATTATCCAAAAGAATATGAATGTTCGGCAATGGAAAATCATCTTTCGGGTTGGCCTTGTTAAGATCCCTGTAATCGTCACATACTCGCACTTCTCCACTTTTCTTCGGAACAGGTACAGGGTTTGAAAGCCAAATGGGATAATGAGACACCATAATAATTCTAGCATTGAGCTGTTTCTCGATTTGCTCCTTAATTTTGAGGCTCATGTCCGGCTTAAACTTGCGAGGTTTCTGCTTTACTGGTGGAAAACTTGGATCAGTCGGTAATCGGTGGACCACTATATCTGTTGAAATTCCAGGCATATCATCATAGGACCAGGCAAATACATCTTGAAACATGGTCAAGAACTCAATCATCTCTTTTCTCTGTTTCTTATTCAAATGAATGCTAACTTTTATCTCCTTAACTTCAGTCTCAGTGCCAATATTAACAGCTTCTGTTTCTTCTAAGTTCGGTTTGGATTTCTCCTCATATTGTTCAAAATCCTTTAATAAAGATTCAGATTCTTCCTCGTTATCGCTCTCGTCTTGAATTTCTGATTCCAAAATTTCAAATTCGTGAGAGATATCGAGATTACAATCATCAAATTCCAGAATAGTGATATCCAAAGGGTCAATGTGTTTTATTTCTGGCCATCTGAAAAAAAATGAAATGAGTACAATAGGAAGTAAGTTAAATCCATTTGGGCCATAAACACTGTGCATTTCATTGAAATTCAAAGTAAAGGATAACATCATGACATGCTACTTAACAAGAAAATTAACGCAAGACTTGCATTGGAAAACATTTGATTGAAAACTATTTACAAACTTGAAAGACAAAAGATAAGTAGTATAAACGATTTGTCTCATGTCGACCAAAGGCAATCCCCTAATTTAACGAAATTCCCTGCAGGAGGGAAGAGGATCACGGGTCCAGTTCTTCATTGCTTCAATAGGCACCTCTGGAAATCCTGGGTCCTCCAACGGCTCCCTTTCAGAAATAACCCCCACAAATAGCTCAGATAACCCAACCTCCACTTCCTCGATCGGGTCTACTTCAGATTTGATCACCTCTGATGGGTAAGGAAAAGTACAATACAATGGTGGGACATTCATGATAAGCTGCCTTCCTTCCTTCTCCGCCTTTTTACGATTCATCATTTCTTTCTTATCCCTGGCAGTAGGTTGAAACCCTAATCCGAAAGTATCCTTCTTTCCTTGAAGTTCTATTGGCTCCAAAACTCCCTGCAGGTTGCGCCCGAGGCCCTTGCCCATCTCATATCTTTCTCGAATCATCTCTTTAGCCATCATAACACTAGCTTCTGGCAGATTCATTTCCACCACGGGCTTCTCCTTAGATATCCATCCTACGGAAACAATGTCAGCCACATGGTGAGAAGAAAACAGAGATGTTTTACTATCCTCCTCATTTGGTCCAGAGTTAACAATCATTGTGCAATCATCCTCCGCAAAAACTGTGATCAATTGATCATTCACCACAAATCTCAGCAACTGATGAAGTGAAGAGGGTATAGCGCCCGAGGTGTGAATCCAAGGCCGTCCAAGGAGAATGTTATAAACACTTGAAAAATTCATGACTTGGCACATGACCTGAAACTGAGCAGGTCCGATTTCGATCACTAAATCCACTTCCCCCATTGGTTCACTTTTTGCGCCATCAAATCCTCTCACCACAGTGGTTGACGGCCGCAATTTAGTCTCTTGAAATCCTAACTTAACCAAAGTATTCCAAGGGCAGATATTGAGAGCGGAGCCATTGTCTATCAGAACCTTTGGCAAGAGTTTCCCGTTACAGCGGACTGAGATATACAAAGCTTTGTTGTGTCCAATCCCCTCGGCAGTTAGATCTTCATCAGAAAAAGAAATCCGACTGGAAGCCAAAACATGTTCAACTACATTGGCGAATTTGTCAATTGGAATATTTTTAGGCACTTGAGCCTCAGTTAAGACCTTGACCAGAGCCTCTCGGTGAAGTTCCGAGGTTAAGAGCAGATTTAACATGGAAATTTGAGCGGGCATCTTGTCCAATTGCTCGACTACCTTATACTCACTCTTCTTTAACATCTTAAGGAAATTAAAAGCCTCTTCATCCGTCACTATGGGTTTCGTTGGTGTAGCACCTTCTTTTGCTTTTGAGGACTCATCAACTGCAGGCTCCCCTATGATTCTCCCTGATCTAGTGATGGCATCCACTTCCTTCTTAGGCACCTTCCTCTCTCCAATTAACAGTGTAGGTTCGCTATAATTCCACGGGACCTCTTGTAAATTAAGAACAGGAGTTTGCTCAGGCAATTCAAGTACCACGAGTTCCGAAGGCTCACATTCAAAGGGTATCATTTCCAAAATAAAAGGATCAGTATTCTCTTCAACTTTATAGGCTTCCTCCTCCAATATAAACGGTTCTCCAATGACCCCCATGATCTCGGCCTCGTCTACAATGTACTGTGTAGGGTCCTCAATCCCTTCCTCTATGGTGATAGTTCCCACAGTATCCTTGTGCTGAGGAAAAGGATTGTTGCTAACACTTGGCCCTTGTTCATCTTTCCTTCTCAGAATTATGTCTCCAGCATCAATCATATCTTGAATTTTATGCTTAAGTGCCCAGCAATTGGCCGTCGGATGTCCAGGGGATCCCGAATGATAAGCGCAAAACGATTGAGGATCATAACCAGGGGGAAATCCCCTGGGATAGGTCTTAGGGGGTACCGTACCAATCTTCCCAGCAGCTTTTAATTGCTCATATAACTGGTCAACAGGTCGACCTAGATTGGTAAAGGTTCGGTATGGGGTTGGATTTTGGGTGTCACGGGTTTGTTGGTACTGGTAATTTGGGTTAGGAGATGGAATAGGTCTTGGGTTAAAAGGAGGGCGAGGTCTAATTTGCAAGTTTGGTGGGGAAACATGAAATGGCGTCGATGGTGTGTTTGGATAATTTGGTCGAGGACGGGGGTGGTTGATAGTGGTATTGTAAACAGGGCGTGGGTGTGGTTGATATAAGTAACGAGGTGAGTAGGTGGGATTTTGTTGGTATCTAGGCCGAGAAGAAAAACCCTGGTCCCAGACAAAAGAGGCTTCCTCATCTTTCTTCTTAAATTGAGCCTTTTTACTACTGCCACTCTGACTCTGCATAGCTTCCAACTGTGACTTTAAAGCTGAAACATTAACAATCTTGCCTGCCCTTATAAACTCGTCATACTCTTCCAATTTGTTAACAATTTCAGCAAAGGAACACCCAGTCATACGGAAAATCTCTTCAAAGTAGGGTGGGTCATGAGCTTTAATAAACGTGCGAACAATCTCGTTTTCAGTCATAGGCGGCTCCACTTTGGCGGCCAATTTCCTCCATCTCTTCGCATATGTCTTATGGTCCTCCGATGGCTTCCTCTTGGTCCCCTCCAATGTGGTCCTCGTCGGAGCGAGCTCACAATTATATTCATACTGCCTCACAAAAGCAGTCGATAAATCCATCCAAGATTTCATATCTTCAGGCTTCAAATTGGAATACCAATCCAACGCGTCGCCTTCTAAACTCTCGGGAAATAAGCGTACTGGCAGATTCTCATCGTCTATTGGTCTTCCCAGCTTGTTTGCAAACATCCGAAGGTGGGTTTTGGGATTCCCCGTTCCGTCGTACTTGGTAAATTTGGGTGCTTTGAAACCCACCGGCAACTGCATATCCGGAAATAGGCACAGCTCGTTGTAGTCCAAACCTCCTTGTTTGCTCACACCTTGGCTTTTCCTTATAAACTCCTCGAACCGATCCAATCTCTTTAGTAAATTCTTGTCCACGGGCACGGACGACCCCCCAACTTCAGTTTACCCTTGAACGGCGGTATCTAGGGTGAATGGTTCAGCGGTGGCGTAATAATGTGGTCCTTGTGGTTCGAAAGGCATGCTCACAGTAATGGGCGGATAATTCTGGGAAATTTGGACTTGAGGAGGATTAGTTTGGATGTGAGGTGCATATGTAGGTGGTGGGCCATGAGTGGGATAAGTAAAGGTTTCTTCGGGTGGATTCATAGCTTGTGAAGAAACCGAGATTTGAGCATATGGTAAGAGTATTGGTTCAGATTGGCCCGGGGGTAAGGGTGCATGTTGCTGCTCACCGCTAGCGCCACTAGCTACCAATTGATCGATTACATGCCGTTGGGCCATCATTTCAACACTTAGCTCATTAAACCGGTTGAGAACCTCGCTCAGCTGAGCTCCCAGATTTGCCAAATCAGTTGATGATGTTGCGGGCCTTTCAGATGATTCCGGATGGGTACTCATGTTTACACTTTCCCTCGAAGCTCGGCTACGCGATCGGGTGATAATGGGGCTTCTTCGGGTAGCTATATTTAAATATTACCTGGAGACGTAGGAAAACCCTTATTAGATGCCCTTCTTGATTGACTGTTGCCAAAAAAAGAAGAAAAAATAAAAGAAAAAAAGACAGGAGTTAGTAAAAAGTAAAATAATTCGGATGCATGTCCTATTGGGGAGCCCTTTTTTGTGCCAAGGGTAGGCCTAGCATGATGCAAGCCTTCGGGGTAAATCCCATTTTTCAAACCTGTAAGTGAATATAAAAACAGGAATTCTCATTAATCATGGATAAGCTTAATCCTTCTTTACAATTTCATTGATGGTTCGACTGACCATTCTTACAAAGTCTTCATGTCTAGCTAGTTTAGTGTGTTGGGACTCCCTAGAACTCCCGATACTAAGTTTCCGAATTTCATCTTGGATTTTGCCAAATGCACTCAATGCCTTTTCCAAGTTCTCGGTCTTTTTGGCCTCTTTCTTCAATTGTGAGCGGGCGTCTTCCAATGCTTGATCGGCTACCATGATCTGCAACTGACGATTCTCCAACTCTTTCCTCAACTTTTCATTCTGCTCCTCAAGACTAAGGGAGACCAACGATGCCCTTTCTCTTCCTTGTTCCATTATTGATTTGATCCATTCGTTGTACTCTAAGACGACCTTAGGCTCTACTTTATTCACTTGGTCCAAATGCAGGTTGTCCAGACTACACAAATTCCCCCAAGCTTCCAGCACCATAGTCTGGCATTCGGTGACTGTATTGAGTTCGATGCTCCCCATCCTTTGTATGGTCGGCACTCGCTGCGGATACCCAAACTGTCTCATAACTCGTTGTGGCACATACACAATCAATCCACCGGTGCTTGCTAACGGGATAAAATCAAGTTGTATTGTCCTGAAAGCTGGATCCCTTACTTTCGTCCAATCAAGAACCCATTGTATCTTATCCGAAGTCAAAGCATTGAATTCCTGAATAAACAAACTCGGAGACTCTATTCGATAGTATTTTCTAACCCTCTCTCGGTGCGACTCAACCCAATTTGCTGTTGGAAGGCATGATCCCAACGGATTCAGTGTTCTTTTTGACAGATGCTCCATCACCCATATTTGAAGTACCAGGTTGGATGCATAGAAAAACCCTCTCTTCTTTCGGCACTCAGTAACAGCGGCGAAAATGTCAGCAATGATAACGGGTACTAAGGTAGGAGTTTTTCCTCTAATTCCCAAAAACACACTCTGAACCATGTTGACCGTTGAAAACGTAACTTTCCCATGCTTTTTCGGAAACAGGAGTAGATTAATCAGAGTTATCCCAAAAGCTAGTACTCGTTTCTCTTCCCACTGTTCTCTACTAACGAAAAAGTCCTCGTGGTGATGATCATAGGATTCCTTTTCCCCGAATCGCTTGTATAAGAACTCCAGCGGGCATGATCTTACGTCTGGGTGTTGACTCATGCTAAACTGTTTCAACCCTAAGAACTTACAAAATTGTTCTCTGGTGCCATTCATTGGGTATACCATAGGGTGACCTTTCCCAGGCACTTGTAACAATCCTTCTATCTCCTCCAGGGTTAGTGTTAATTCGCACTCTCCAAATCGGAAAACAGAGCTGTCTGGATCCCAGAACTCGAGCAAAGCTTGGACAATGGCTACATTCGGAGTTATGTTCAAGAGACTAGGTAAATGTCCTATACACGGGAAAAGTCTGTTCACTTCATGTGCCATATTGTTCTTCCAATCTACTAGCTCACGAGGTATCTGATTGAGCATTCTACACGGAGCCATCTGGGGAAGAAATTCACTTTAGTACCTTACCTCGGGATTTTACCCTTTAGGTAATACAGAAATAGTAAACGTGTAAGTCCCGTTGGATTAAATATCCGAGACATGTGGCGGCTTATTCCTAAACACGGGATTCCCTACGTGGCATTCCCTTTCTATGGTTTATGCGTGATGTCAGTTATTTAAAGCAGTAAAATATGCAACAAATATGGCCTAAAGGGCATAAATAATGCATCGGGGGGAAGAGGTCTAAAAAATGAAATGTAGTTATTGAAAATTAAGTGTAATGACTGAAATTAAACATGTGAGCTATCTAGCGGGTAAGTCACTAAAAGAGTGCCAAAGAGGCCTCTTACTGCTATGGCACATAAATGCAAGCCAAGAAAACACAAGAATAGTTAGTACAATTGATAGTACACGTAACATATTGGGAGTAATTAAGAAAGAAAAAGAAGTACAATAAAGCAAGTAAAAGGGGTGGAACCCCTTCCCTCGTGCCTAATGTGCTTAAAAAAGGTGAGGCTGACTCTACCCTAGGCGAGTCTAATATGGATGCATGAGGCTGGGGCTCACTAATGCAACTAGACTCGACCTAAAGGCGAAGGGTCATCACTCCCAGGGCCTTTGATCGGTGGCTCGAGTGATCCCTTAGGTAGCGCTATGGGCGCAGAGCACACAAGCCGCCTACCCAAAGCGATCGATCCTAATCCTACAAGGCGGTGTGGGAAACGCCCACGAAAATAAAATAAAATGGGGATAACAATAAATAAACGTGCACGTATGAAGTGCTCCCTATTTTGAGGGAAAGGGGTTGAGAACGACGCGAGGCTCAAAAGGTGACACACACCCCCCCAAATGCAATGCATAGCGCGAAATCATACATAAATAAATCATCCATCCATCCAAACAATCGTAGGCGAATGTGTGAGGAAGTGAGTTGATACGCGAAATGCAAAAATCCTAAAAAAAAGGGAAAAATGCAATCCTAAACATCCAATGTGATAAATGAAAAGGTTGAAAGAAGAAAAGAATTGACTAAATCGATTGCTCGGACTCTCAAGTCCCCAGTGGAGTCGCCAACTGTCGCGCCCCATTTTTGATAAATAAATAAAATGGTTTGAAAAATGGATTTTGTGATTGGAAAATGAATCGTGATTTAAAAGAAAAATGGGTCTAGATGGGGGTTTGAAAATGCGACGATTTGACCCAAAATTATAGTTTAAAAAGGGTTTTTTAAAAAAATGGGAGTCGCCACTTGGTAATGAGTTAAGGTGTACCAAGTCACCTAAAAATGAATTTTTTAGGAAAAAATTATAAGAAACCCCTTTTAAACGACTCCTAGTCCACGTAAATCAATGAAAAAGGTTCGGGAGTCACATTTGACGAAGGGGAAGGCAAGGATAAAAATCCAAGGCACCCCTTTGACCTAGCCAAGGCTAGTTGCATGATTTAATCAAAGATTTTCTTGTTTTAACCAAAGAATTTATTACATTTGGATGTACTACGTGAATGCAAACCCTAAACCTAGGGGTATTGGGGGAAATTTCCCTTCAAAGGTTAAGTGGTGCCAATCACATTAATTGTGAAGCCCAATAACGATCCTTTGAAGAAGTCACGAATAATGCAAGTGGGATGCAAATGAAGGGAATGCATGTATGCAATGTGAAGGCATAAATTTGAAAAAGTAATAAAAAACAAAGATGCATAAGTGAAAATGTGCACGTGAGTGGGCAAGGTATGCAATGGTAATATGAAGTACATGTGTGCAAGTGATGATAAAAGTGTTCGTGTGTAAGTGAAGGGATAAAATGTGTACGTGTGCAAAATGGGACAAAAGTGTTAGTGTGCAAATGAAGGGATAAAAGGTGTACGTGTGCAAATGGGAGGAAAAAATGAAAGTGTAATGATAGGGTGGATGCATGAACCTAGGGAATGCATGCATATTGGGTACGGGGAGACCTAAATCGTGACTCAATTTACCCTTTTGTAGAGAGGATACAAGCGTGCTAAGGCTTAGAAAAAGCCACACTCGTCTATATCCCATATTTAAGGGGACTCTCAAGCAAATGAACCTATACCTAGCATGAAATGCAAAAATCCTAAAATGGAGGGAAAAGGGATTCGAGGGGCATGCAAAATGATAAAACTAAAAAGAATGCATGACATGTAATGAACACGCAAACATGTACTAACGAGGGGAAATCCCTAAGGGTCTAGCGTTGGACTAGCCCATTCTATGAATTCCGACTAGCATTGGACTAGCGGAAACGTACATTCATCCATCACATTCATGCTATGGAAAGCGAGTAGACATGCTAAACACTTATAAACACATAGCACATAACATTTAGCATGCTCGACTAGATGCAAGGCCCTAATAAAGCAAATTAACACATAGCAATTAAACATGCAAGACACATAAGACAATCAAAGCCCTAACTATTACATTTGCTGGCTAGGCACACGTCTTCGATGGGTCTTCATTGAATGCTCCTCCAAGCCCTATCTATTATATTAAGGAGATCCTACTACGATCTAAAAGGGGGAAAGAGAATAAAATAGTTGAATCCCTAACTATTACAAGCCAAGAGGTGTACACATACCCCATAAAGAATAACTTAAATAAAGAGCAAAAATAAATGACATAAATAAAAGGAATTAAAGAAAAGCTAGGAAAGCAAAGTAGACATGCAATTCACTTAGCACATTGGATCACATAGGAGAGATAAACAAAGATAAAAGAAATTATACCTTCCCCTAATGGTAAGCAAATGAAGGAAAATGGCTTCAAAACAATAAAGGGGTCAAGGCATCAATTTAAAAGTAAAGTATAAGCAAAAACATCAAAACCCACCTAATTGCAACTTGAATGAGCACAAAAAAATGCTTAAAGACCAAGAAAACGGAATAACCCGTTCAATTTCCAAATATAGCATCTACTAAAGACCCAAAACAAGCATTACTCAAACATTCAAGTCCAAATAAATCGTTTAAACACTTCAAAGATCTCAAAAAATAAAGGAAAAGCCAAACAATGATTGAAGTTGCAATGATCTTAGGACTTAATTACAAGATACTAGAACATGCTTGGGCTCTTGTGGAACAAAAAGAAACTTAGAGGGATCAAATTGATTGAATGTTCCAATTACTTGGGCCTTAGTAGAACAAAGGGGAATTTGAGGGGTTGAAATGCAATTTTCGAAAATATTTTGCATGCAAACTTACGTAAAAGAACAAATTCTGCAACTAAAGCTTCTATACTGAAATGAATGTCTGCTGCATTTTCGTTTTCAACCATAGATCCCACAAACTAAAACAAGTTTTGATCAAACTCCCTCAAACCAAAGTCTTAACTCGGGATTAAGCAACTCCACACACAACTTTGATATTCAAACCAGCAAAAACATATGAAGAAATCAGCAAACATTGAAGAGCGAAGTCTGCTGCATTTTATTTCCAAGCTTGCAACAATTTTCAGCAAAGTGTTCAACCATAGCTCAAAGATTTCAGCCTTTAAACATACAAACTCAACACCAAAAATCCCATTTCTTCACCCTTGACATCAGATTGAACTAGCAAAGGGTGACCAAACCTAGTTTTAGTAGGCTGCTAACAAGATAAAAACATGAAATGCAGCTTTTCTTTTTTGGATTTTTACCCCAACTTAGACAGGTTTACATGCCAATATGTGAGAAGCTCTAACTAACATTCAAACCAGAAATGCCGAGCTTCAAACTCATTGTCATTATCATCTAATTCTCATAAAACCTGATCGAAACAGCCATCTATAAAATGCATCAAAAGAAAAGGTGAAACCTGCGGTAATCTAAGGAAAAGGAAAAGGGCTGCATGCGCTGCTATGAAATTTCCCGAAACACATTTCTAACTACAGATGTTATTCATGGTATATCATTCAAATATAGATAACCAAGACAAACAAAGTTAATTGAGTCACAGCTTCAACAAAAACAAAGAAAAAGGGCCGACATGTCCGAATTGCTGCAATCAAGTCAAAAAGATTCAAACTTGTTGCAGTAAGTTCTTAACCTATGGACCCAAAAACAAGAACCAAATTCACATAAGGAATTTCGACACCAGTCATCAAAGCGTTGAACAACATCCAGACTTTTCATAGTCCCATCATCTTAAACAGATTCACAATGAACGCATACAAGAGTAACTTCAGCATTTCATGAATCCAACGACTAAAAGCAGGTAAAAGCTATTACCTTTACACTTTTAGGATCCAAACGGGAACTGAGATGATCGATAGTAAGGGTCCTCGTTGAACTGAAAACCTTCTTCTTCTGATGCTGCTGCTCCTTCGTCTTTTCCTTGCTATTTCTCCGTCGATGCTTCACCAGCCACCAACTAGGCTCTCGGTTGTTGTTTCACTCCCCTTACCCTCGAAGTTCCGACTCTCTCCCACTCTCCAAGCCTAAACACTCCCTCCTTCTGTTTCTCTTTTAGTTCCCCTTTCCTGCTTACGGCTCAATTCTCCCAAAAACAGTTTTCCTCCACCTTCAGTCTTTTTTCCTGATTTTTCTCCCTTGCTTAGTTTTTCTTTCCGCTGTTCCTTTCATTCTCTCCAGATTTCCTTTTTTTGTGTTTTTCTGTCTTCCGGATCCTCTCTATCCTCTTTTGAAAACTCTCCCCCTGCGGCTGTCCATCCCTTTTCTATTTATATGGGAGCTCTGCCCTAAAATCTCAGCAATCTCTGCTATATTTGCAGTCAAGGGCTGCCCGAAGCCCTTCCTTGCAAGCTGCAAAAAAACGCAGCTTGCTATCGCGTATTGCCTTTTTTTTTTGTTTTTTTAAATAATGTAACAAAATGATAATAAAAGCTAAGTACTAAAATATAACAATTTTACATCAAAATAAACAAACTAAAACAACAAAATTGCCATTTTCAATCTTTTCTTTCATTTTTCATTTTTCTTTTTTTTTTAGTTTCAAGAAAACATTGAATTTAAAAGACTAAATCATATTTTTTTGAATGCTTTTCTTTTTCTTTTTTTCCTTTTTCAAGAAATTCCATGATAAAAACTTAAAAATAAAAATAAAACTAGAAACTAAAAACTAAAAAAGCGAATAAAACTAACACTATACAAATAAAAAACTAAAAATAAAAAAAAGACATGAAATTACACCAAAAATTTGGTGTCTACAGGAATAATATGGTCCTTGAGCTTCAAATGGCATGTTTAGACTAACAGGTAGATAATTTGGAGGAATTTGAGGGTGAAGAGGATTGGTTTGGATATTGGATGTATAGGTATGTGGGAGGCCATAAGTGGGATAGGTGAAAGGTTCCTTAGGTGGATTTATGAAATGTGGAGGAAAAGAGGTTTGAGTATAGGGTAGGGGTAGTGGTTCAGGTTCAGGTTGGCTAGCAGGTAAGAGATCTTGTTGGACACTGCTGCTGCTGCCAGCAACCAACTGATCAATCACGCACCGTTGTGCGGTCATCTCCATACTTAAGTCATTGAATTTGTTTAATACTTTGCTCAGTTGAGCTCCCAGATTTTCAAGGTCGGCTGTTGGCGTCGTTGCAAACCTATCGGATGATTTAGGATGTGTACTCATGTTTACACTATTTCTCAAAGCTCGGCTACGTGATCGTGTAATGATGGGGTTTCTTCGTGTAGCTATGTTTACAATTACCTGAAAATTTAGGAAAAATCCTATTTAAATTCCCTTTTTGATTAATTGCTGACAAAAAGAAAGAAAAGAAAAAGACAGGAGTTAGTAAAAATTAAAGTAATTCAGATGCATGTCCTATTGGAGAGCCCTTTTATGCAAAGGGTTGGTCTAGAATGAGAATGCAATCCTCTAAGGTAGGCACTATACAATACCTGACGAATCCAATCAACTTATTGATACTCGAGTGAAGAGCAATTTAAAAAATTTTGCCAATTGGAGCGACAAGAGACATTTGTTCTAACAAAATGAGAACAAAACCATAAAGTGATGTGTGAAAGAGCCTACTCTTGAAAAGATTGCAATGTCTCGACTAATTATTCAGTGAACCTTAGATCGAAACTTTAAAAGAGAATAAACGGGTCAAATGGATCGGATGAAATTGATGATTTATTCAAAAATTGACTGGATCACCCTGAAAATGGGCAAACTGGTCAGATTGATTGAACAAAATTGATAATTTATTCAAAATTGGCTGAATCACACTAAAAATGGGTAAATTGGTCAAATGGATTGAAATGAAATTGACGATTTATTCAAGATTGATCGGATCACCCTAAAAAATGAACAAATTGATAAAATGGATTAGATGAAATTAATGGTTTATTCCAAAATTGACTAGATTGTCCTAACAATGGATAAACTGGTCAAATGAATTAAATGAAATTGATGATTTATTAAAAAAATGATTGGGTTGTACTAAAAATGAATAAATGGGTCAAATGAATTGGATGGAGTTGACAGTTTATTCAAAATTGATTGGATTGCCAACCAATTCGTAGTTTGAAATTTTATTGCAATGCATTAGTCTATAAGCCTTCTAAAATCATGATTTGGCCTCGATATATTTATTATCTCAACAATGAGGAATTATTTGTGAATTTCTTCAATTTAATGTCCTTTACGCAAGGGATTTTTACCAATTCTGATAAAATGGCCCAAAAATGATTGTTAGATGCTCATATTCTAATGTGCAAAAGTGGATCTATTATCATGGACAAGATCATATTCTACCTTACCTTGTGTACTACCCCTTTGGATGATACAAAAAATGTAAACGTGCAAGTTTCATTGGATTATATATCCGAGACACAGGGTGGTTTATTCCTAACATGGGATTCCCTATGCGGCATTCCCTCCTAAGATTTATGCATGATGCCAATTTATCGAAGCAATTAAATATGCAATTTGAAATGAAAACATGACCTAAGGGACCCTTCGTATGCTAGGGTGGGTCTAAAATGATATGCACTTATTAACCTACAAATGCAATACATTGAAATTTAAACGTGCAATAATCTATCTAAGAGGGTAGGTCCTAGAAGAGTAACATGCCAGATCTCTTATTTTCTAACGTTTGTAAATGCAAAAGACGAGAAAACAAGGAAATGTTAGTTCAACACATAACACGTTGGGACAATTAGATGATATAAAAATCAAAAAGAGAAATAAGGAAAGAGGATTGGAATCCCTCCCTTCGTGCCTAGTGTTCCTATTCGGGTAAGGTTGACTCCATCCTAGGCGATTTCTAATATGGATGCATGAGGTTGGACTTACTAATGCATCTAGACTCGATAAAGTTTCAGGTCCCCAAACCTTCAGACCAAAGGCGAAGGGTCATCAATCCCAATGTTTAAGAGTCGGTGGTTCAAGTGATTCCTCGGACATTGCTACGCGCACGTCGTGCCACAGCCACATGTCCAAATGGATCAATTCTAATCCTAATCGGGTGGAGTGGTGTAACAACCACTAAAAGTAAAAAGAAATGAGGGGTTATAAAGTAAAGCGTATGCACGTATGAAGTGCTCCTTTTGAAGGGAGGAATTAAATACCATAAAATGCGGGCGAAGGTTGTAGGGTGGCTATCCCCCCTCCCAAGATGCAAGTGCAATATATACACATAAGTGAATGAAATAAAACACTTTATTCATCACATACACGGATATCGAGAAGATTGTGCATGTTAAATGCAAGAAAACCCTAAAAAGGAGGAAAAAGGAAAAGAAAAAAGAAAAAAGAAAAATGCAACCTAAAACTTCCAAGTGTGATATATAAAAGAGGTTAGAAAAAGAAAAGGATTGCTTAAATCAGATGCTCGGACTCTCTAACGTCCCCAGTGGAGTCGCCAAGCTGTCGCGCCCCATTTTTTGAATAAAAAATAATAATAATTACTGGTTTATAAAAATGGATTTTTGATTTATTTTGATTAAAAATGAATTTTCAATTTTTAGTGAATATGAAAAAGAAACAGGCCTAAAATGGGACTTAAAGTGCGACGATTTTGGCTCAAAAATAATAGTTTAAAAGGAATTTTTATTAAAAAATAGGAGTCGCCACTTGATATTGAATTAAGGTGTACCAAGTCACCTAAAATGAATTTTAAATAAAAAAAAGTAGAGAAAACCCTCTTTAAACGACTCCAAGTCTGCAAAAATCAAGCAAAAAGGGGTCGGGAGTCACAATTAAAGAAAGGGAAGGCAAGGATACAATTCAAGGCACCCTTTCAACCTAATAAAGGCTAGTTGCATGATTTAGTCAAAAAATTTCTTATTTTAACCTAAAAATTTTATCACATTTGGATGTTACTATATGAATGCAAACCTAGATCGGAAGAGTCCATATGTCTCTTCAAACCTTGATTGGTGCAAATCGCATTATTTGCGATGCCTAAAAGTGATTTTTTGAAGAGGTCACGAATATGCAAAAATATGAGACTTGAAGAAAAGAAAAGAAAATAATAATTATACAAATATACAGACCTAAAGGAATGCATCATAATGGGTGCGGGGGGCTAAAATTCCTGACTTTAATTTTTCCTTTAATAGAGGGAATACGAGCGTGCTAAGACAAAGAGTCATACTCGTCCATATCCCATATTCAAGGGGTATTTCTCCTATCTAATCAAGCATATTATCTAACTTAATTTTAATTTTCTTAAATAAAATGCAAGTCTATATGTTATGTTTCACATATAGGGATAAGGGATATATATATAGGGGAAATATGGGATAAGAGATATACATATAGGAGAAATATTGGATAAGGGAAATATATATATAGGGAAAATATGGGATAAGGGATATACATATGGAAATATCATGCAAAAGTGATAAGGATCCTTAAAAGTGGAAATGAAATGTAGTGTTTTGTCACATAAACATGATCTAATTAGTGGATGGTCCCTAAGGGTCTAGCGTTGGACTAACCCATGTCTATAGATTCTCACTAGTATTGAACTAGTGAGAAATCGAAAAAGAGGGCCACACCTAACGTTGGACTAGTGTAGAATCGGAAAAAGTGCCACAACTAGAGTTGGACTAGTGTGGTGACATCATGCATTTATTATAATCAAATAAATCATATAAAGCAAATAAACACATAAAACACATAAAACACATAGCATATAAGTATGATATCTAAATGCAAGACCCTAGAAAAATTTGTAAACACGTAAACATACAGGCATGCAAAACACACAAAACAAATAAAGCAAATAAAGACCTAACTATCACATTGGGGCCCTAACTACAATCTAAAGGGGGAAGGAATAAAATAAATACCTAACTATTACATCTTGGCATTTAAATGCCTCTCAAATAACCAAAATTAAATTAAAATAAATATACAAAATTTAAATAAACAAAGTTAATAAAGAAATAAATGAAATAATAAAAAACATTCAAACAAGCATGCAATTACACACATAAAATCACATAGTAGCACATAGGATCAAGTAAAATCAAAATAAAGGAGTAGAGTGTACCTCCCTTGAATTGGTGACTTAAAGAAATGAAAATTTTCTTATTTACCCTCCAAAACAAAGAAAAGGGTCAAGACACCACTTTAATTAACAAATAATCATAAGAGATGGAAATAAATATGAAATTGAATAATTAAAGTATTTAAATGCAAGTAAACAACCTATACTCAAGAAGTTCAAAACAAGTGAGGACTTAATTGGAAGAATTAAAGAAGTTTGAGGGGTCAAATTATGATTATTACAAATATTAAGGGTCTAAAATAAAATTAAGGGTTTAAGATGGAGCATGCCAAAACCAAATGCTTAACTTCACAAAAATGAATGAAAATCCATTTGCTATAATTAAACAACAAAATTACCCAAAAAATTTACTAAAATCCAAATCAAAAACTATAAATCGATAAAAAATTATTAAATCTCAAATTTCATCCTTAAACTCATGAATAATCTGTCCAAAAATCACATTAGAGCATACCAAAGAAAAATAACATTTTAAAAGGATAAAATTGATTGACTTTCCAATTTTTTGGGCCATAGTAGCATTATGGGGAACTTTAGGGGCTGAAGTGAAATTTTCAGAACTTTTTGCATGCAAGCTTCGAAGAACAATTTCTGCAACTGGAAGCTTTTATCTTCTGCGCTAGTTTCTTCCTCATTCAATTTTGCAGCCTATTCAACTGAGGTATCTTATGCAATCTCAAACCAAGCCAGCAAACTCATTAACCCAACCCATTAATCTTCAAAACACTTTGATTAACACACCACAATATGCAGGGGACAAGTCATTGAAGATCAAGGAAAGGATGACACAATCGGCTTCTGATGAAACCAATAATGGTACCCTCAAAATCTAAGAGTTTTCCAACCACATGACCCAAAACACCTTGGTGCAGATCATAGACATTCTTTCTGATGAAATAAAATACAATAATCACAGTAAGGGGCATTATGATTGCAATGATCGGGGCAGCCCAGAGAGGGATAGTATTATCTTTCAATGGGTATTTGAGATCTGTCATCATATCAGCACCAACAAAACGATGGGATGGCTCTGTCACATTTGACCCTATCTCTATCGCCACCAGCAGCAAAAGAATAAGCCAGTCACGCATGTGAAACCTAGCTACTTGAGCTCCATGGGTTCGAATTGTTTGAGCACCCAACTGAATTTCTGGCATCTTTCACTCAAAAAAATGCTACAAAATGTCACCGTTTGCTTGTGCTCGAGGCAGAAAGCCAGTGCGTGACTGTGTGATTTTTGAAACGCTTCACTACTGAGTACTGAGTTGAGAGAAAGATAGCTTTGAACTTTTTTTTTCTTTGATTTTTGTTTGTTTTGGATAAGGAGAGAGTATTAATTTAGTAAAGTTAAAAACAAAAAAAAAAAACAGAAATAATCAATTTCTACTGCGGAAGCTGCGGCCAGGGGGTTTCTTCAATTGTTCTTCTCTAGTCAAAAGGTAAAGAAGGATGTCCAGTTGATGGAAAACAACTCTAGCTGGGTTTTACTCACAGGCTTTACTCACGAGTTTACTCACAAATGGAAAACAAAATCACGACATAAAGCCATAGTTCAAGTTCCCCTCCCCAACAGAGCCACAAATGGCAGCCAATATAGAAGGAAGAAAGCCGACAAGAAGCATTGCAACAAGAGTTCCAACTTTCTGATGCAGATTCAACACCATATGCGTGGAAAAAAAAGAAGAAAGAGACTACCTTTTTGCACCTTAAAAGGTAGAAAGAAGATTGAAACCAGGAGTGAGTCCCAAAACGTGAGAAATTGCAGAAGCAGAAAAACCCAGTTTTGCTGCAAAAGCTGCTCAAGAACTGATGGGTCTGCATTTTTGAGCCCAGATTTGACGAACTTATAGGCTTTTAATCTGAAATTTCCCAACACAAGAACTCTTCACCTACATCTATGGTGTATCCAGAACTCCAGAACAGATCTAAAAGAGGTCAACAAGGAGAAAAAAATGGTATCTGAACCCAGTCACTCCTCCAACCCTGGCTCCCATGAAGCTCCTTTTCTGGTTTTTCCTCCCTCTGATCTCCTTTTTTTTTTCCTTTCTTTTGTTTTTTCTCTTTCTTTTGTTCCTCAGCCACCTCCCTCTCTCAATCTCCTCTCCTCTCTCGGTCTTTTTCTTTTCCTTTCCCTTCCTTTTGCCCCCGCAGCTCCTTTTTCTTGCTTCCTTTCTCAGCTGAAAATCCTTTTCTTTTCACGGCCCCTCCCCTTTTCTTCTTTTCTCAGTTTTTCTTACTTTCTTCCTTCCCCCACTCCCCCAGATTCTCCCTTTCTTTTTAACTCTTGGTCGCAGCCCCCTTTTCTTTTTCCTTCCCTGTTTTTTCCTCTTGTTCAGCCCGTAGCTTCTTTCTTTTTTCTTTGCTTGGTTCCTCCTCCCTTTTTCCCCCGTAGCTTCCCCTGTTTTCCCTTTTTCTTTTGTTTGTTTTTTCTTCAAATTTTCCTAGGCTTCCGAGTGTCCTAGCCACCTATCCTCTAGATGTTGTGGTGTCAAAAGAAAAATAGAGACACTTATCTCATTTGCCTACACTCCACCTAACTATTGTGTATGGCCTCCACCTATCTTCTTTTATTTATTTATTTTTTGGTTTTCTTTCAAAATCAATTTAAGTAAACAAAAATGTTAATTCCTAATTGAAATTGCATTGCAAAATTTTCATTTATTTCAAAGAAATTGAATCTTAAAAGGATTAAAAACAAATTTTTTTGAATTTTTGTGAGAATTTTCCTTTTCAGAAATTTAAAGCAAAAATATCTTCAAAAAGAAAAATGATGAATCTAATTTATAAAAATAAGCAAAAATAAACACTAACTATCATTTTGCAAACTTAGTCAACTAAAATAAAATAAAATAAGAATAAATAATAAATAATAATAAAAATAAAGATAAAATTGAATTAAAAAAATTGAAATTTTGGTGTATACAGTGGGCATTAACTCATGCGGCAATTGGGTTTTCAAGTTGTTAGGTCAGCTCTCCCTAGATGTTAGAAGAGAGATCACTCTGGAACGGCTAGGTATCCCTGCTAGTAGGATTGACTAGTGCTCGTCAGGAGTAGTGCAGTAACTCATGGAGGTTTTAATGATCCAATCATCAATTGAGTGAAACCAAAAGCTATTTGGATAATTCTTGATGATTTCAAGTGAATGTAAAGTGCAAAAAGATCAAAAGATGAAATGAAATCAAGTTCAAGAGTGAGAAGGATTGGTAGCCCTGACACATGTTACTATTTCAGCTATAGCTTGAGTTACAAGTGTCAGATTGTAATGATTTTTGAAACATTTTAAAGGTAAGATGTAGAGCTACATTTCTTGTGGAAACATCTAAATCTAGTTCATATGTTTTCATGGTCAAAGAACTGAAATTTGACTAGTGCTCGTCAGGAGTAGTGCAGTAACTCATGGAGGTTTTAATGATCCAATCATCAATTGAGTGAAACCAAAAGCTATTTGGATAATTCTTGATGATTTCAAGTGAATGTAAAGTGCAAAAAGATCAAAAGATGAAATGAAATCAAGTTCAAGAGTGAGAAGGATTGGTAGCCCTGACACATGTTACTATTTCAGCTATAGCTTGAGTTACAAGTGTCAGATTGTAATGATTTTTGAAACATTTTAAAGGTAAGATGTAGAGCTACATTTCTTGTGGAAACATCTAAATCTAGTTCATATGTTTTCATGGTCAAAGAACTGAAATTTGAAGCTGAATATTTTCCTTGGTGGATATGTTGAAATTGATTATTTTTTAGGAAAAAAAAGAAAAAGAAGGAACATTTGTGAATTAAAGCCCTATTTGAAATTGTTGTGGCTTATAAAGAAGCACTTTTGACACGAGTACTCTTAACTAAAACTAGACTCTTTAAGTCATGAAAAATTAGTTACCAAACACTCTAAAAATATTTTTAGTGTTTAAAAGTGCTTTTTTAGTACTTTTAGTGTTTAAAAACGCTCTTAGTGCTTAAGAAATGATGAGTGGATGGTTGGAAAAAGAAATTGCTTCTATTGGTTGATCAAATAACTATGAGCTTAGTTATAAACAGTATTGATTTGCTACATAACCTTAAAGAAAATTTCGAAGTTAGGAACATGTCCTGACTACAAAGCATATAAAAACTAATATACCTGCATAAATAAAGCATTGAATGCTAAGATTTTAGTTTTCTTCTTCTACAAATTCCAATATTTTGAGAGCATTATTTTCTTTTATTTATGTCTTCTTATTCTACATATTCAATTTGGTTATGCCCAAAAAGTTATTCAAACATTGAAGATTTAGATTGATCAATCCTTAGTTTTGATGATTAACAAACCAAAATGATAATTTGGACTAATGCTTTTAGTTAGAATTTTATTAGAATAGATGCTCAAACATTTGGGAAAGAAAGGATGAAAAATAAGAAGAAATGAAGATTTTCACTTAGCATTGGACTAATGTTTTTACATAAGAAATGATTTAGGATGGGTTCTTAGTCAATTGGAATAAGAAGGAAAAAATGTCAAGAAGAAATACAACATTTTGGCATCTATTGAACGCGAGGATCGAATACACCTCATCTGTAGGAAATCCATAAAATTGAAAGCAAAAATTGGAACATTTTGACCTCCTTTCAGACACATCTGTCGAACTTAGACAATTTGGATTGGACATCCGATCAGACACAAGGTTCAGATGTTGAGAGTTCCTATCGGATGTCCAACAGCTCCAACGTCTGATTTTTCAACAGTTAGTTTTTTGATTGTTGGAGAGGGTTTTGCAGTAAAATTTCACCACCTATAAATATTAGATAGTTTTAACGGCTAGTTTTTTAATAGCTAGCTTTTTTACCGTTGGAGTGGCTTTTGGAACAAAATTTCACACCTATAAATACCCTCAACAATGAGAAGAAGAGTGACTTTTGTCTACGCAAAATACAAACTTTCAAGAGTGATATTTGGATAGAAATATACTTTGATTATTGTATAGGCATGAGAAAAGTTGGGTTCGTGAGATTTTTCAAAGAGGAGAAGTAAAACCTTTGTGAAGGTGACGTGACCCTCACTTGTAAAGTAGTTCTTAATTGGCTGGATGAACTTTCAATTATAACTAGTTGAGAGTTAAATGGGAGAGTTATAAAACTCCTTGGCTCAACTTGTGAGACCCTGAAATTTTACTTGTTTTTATAACCCGTATGTGAACTTACTTACCTTAGATTCTTGGTTGTTTTAATGGTTGAATTTGAGCCAAGGGAGTGAATTTTGTTAAGAAAAGTTTCATAATCTCAAGTTGTTAGAAAATCTAGAAATTTTCGCAGGAGACTCTACACAGCTTTGGGAAATTGGCTATAACTTCGTATAAGAAAGTCGGAATTGAGTTCCGTTTGTTGCGTTTGAAACTAGACTCATAGAACTTCTTACAGTGTAAAATTCAGAGTTTGATTTAATGTCAATAAATTCTAGGAAATTGGCAAATTTGACAGAAAATTCTGCCCTGCACAAGTAAACATAGGAATGTTGTAGTAGCTTATGGCTCAATATGGACCAACTTATGAACTAAATCTCTTTGAGGTGTCTTCTAAATATTATTAGTATTTGAAATCTAGTTTTGAACAAGCCAAGTTGTATGAATTTTTGATATTTATAATTTAAATTATGATTTTTCTAAATAAAGGGCATATTAGGGTTTTTGTGCATACTAGGGTTTTGGTGTGCTTTTTTTTTGTGCATTTTGGTAGTGTGATTGTGAGGACTTGTAAAATCCCTCATATTTTCTTAAAAATTTCCTTTTATTTGGAATCTATTATTTTACAATAGCTTTACTACTCATTCACCCCCTTAATAATTGCAATTAAACATAGAATCAAGGGTTTTTCCTTTCATTTTCTTGTTATCGTAAATTAGGGTTTTTGCATCTTTTGGTAGAGTGAATAATCGGTGTGGAGTGTGTACTCAATTTGGTGGTTAAGAGTGAGTTTTATATAAGAAAAAGTGTATGATTAGAAGTGTTAATAATAAGTTAGTGAATTATAAGTGAAAACCCTAGTACATGCGAGTTAAAGAAAAACGGTGTGAACCGACGTATACCGTTTGTTACCGAGTGAATACACCACTTGAACACTACTTTATTACCTTAATATCCTTGCTTTTATTTCGGCTAATTAACCCTAAAATATCTCTTAAACCAGCCACAATTTTTGACCAAAGAAAAAGGAAAAAAAAAAAGAAAAAATTGAGCTTTGATCCTACGCCAACACTTGTCGGAAATCTATCCAACTTTGACCCAAATTTCTTACCTTTACTAAAACTCAAAATTTGACCAAAATTTCCTTCACTTTCTTGTCTTCTTGGCTGAAAACAGGGAGAGGAAAAAAGAGAGAAAACTTCATCTTGCATTGTCAAATTTTTCCTCAAATCTTGAGTTCTAACCGTTAAAATTGCAAACTACTTTATAAAAGTTACTCACTAAGAAGGTTTAGAACTTTTGGTGGAGTGATTTTGGAAGCAAAAACCCTAAGCTACCATCTTTCTTAAGGTTCCAAGGTAACTTGTCTAGAAATCCCTCTTTGCTCTTAATAATTGTAAATTGGTGGATTAGAGTTGTTAAATATGTAGTTTTGTGAGAAATTTCATGGGTTGAAGTAGTGTTATGATAAATTTCAGTTTTTATGGTGAATTTTCTGCGCTCATGTGATGATTAATGATTGGCCATGGTTTGATAGTTTTCTTATGTGATAAATTAGTGTATTATGTGCTAGATGGACTTGCCTAAAGAAAATTTCCAGTTTTAAGGTTGAAACTGCCCTGTTCTGACCTGTTTAATTCGTCCATGTTAGAGGCTGAATCAGGCTTAGGTTGAAACATAAAAGTTGTAGAAAATAGTGTTAAATATCTACCTACAAAATTTCAGCTCAATCAGAGCATGGTAGCATGTGAAAAAACAAAAATACCCTTGACTGCCAAATGTACTGTTTTGTGGACAGTGTTCTGTTTTCTCTGAGATTGCATATTTTGACCTTGAAAATAAATGAATTGGGTGTTGATGTCTTCATAGGAAATGTATTTATCTATCTTAGCTTCGAAACGGTATAAAGTTTACCCCAATACGATAAGCGTAGCTTCGGTTGTAACCGAAACGCCAAGAGATGTCAAACCTGTTATTTTATTATTTGCCTTAAACATTCGTTCCGGTCAATATGCTAGCATTGTTTTGTA